AAGGTTGGTTACAGTTTTTTTTTTTTTTTTTAACGTATTCATCAATTGAACTTGTGTACAAAAGTTAGTATAGCATTTATACAATACAAGTATTGTACTGTACACATATATTTGCTAAGTGAAACCAGTAAATTAGTAATTTTTTTTCAAAAAAAAACAACAACAACAACAACATTTGTTAGAACAACATTAACAAAATTCAATAGATGAAAAAACTTTTGATATTTATATTGGTTATTAAAAACTGAGAAAAAAAATTTTGAAAAAAAAAAAAAAACACTAACAAATAGTATCAAGTATTATAATATTTAGTTGTAGAAAGTAATTCCTGGTCAAGAAAGAATACCTTGAAATCATAAAGAAAAAGTTATTGATGACTTGAAAAACTTCTAAAAGGGGTCTTAAATAATATATATATAAACGAGAATTAGAATACCAATTGAAGTTAAAAGTTAATGTTAAAACCTATAGTATACTTATTGTATTTTTGTGACATCAAACACTTTGAGATATTTTTATGTTGAGATTGTAATCACAGATTTTTTTTTTTTTTTCAATAAAGGCAAAACAAGCTATCAAATCTGTAGTACTCTATACGCAGTTTACCTGTTTGAACTACATGTACAATGGTTTTTTTTTTTTAAAATAGGGATTCTTATTAACCTCTTACGATATGGTAGCTAATTATCACTTTAGATCTCTTCAATGAGTTTTTATTGCATTTAATTAACACCAATCTATGAAATCTCATTGAACTTGTAAAACAACATATATAATAATATACACACATTTTTAAAATGTTTAAGCAATAAGCCGTAATAATATTGAATTTTTTTTTTTAATAAATCGTAGTTTGGGACCGTCAGACCCAACTCACAACGTAAGTCATCTTGGTACTGAACAAGCTGTAATAACAAAAAAGAATCATGACAGCAACTAGTCCACCACAATTAGATAATAATTGTTTTTTTTTTTCTTAAAACAAAAAAACAGGTTTTATTCTTTATTCTGTTGTACTATCTGGAAATTCATTGATTACCACTTCAACAACAAATATGATTAACAGACCATCGACTCGATCTTCATCTGTTGGTGACAACAGTTTGACCGAGTAAGCTTTTTATGATAAAAATGGTTTTCAAAACCTGGCTCAATATATATATCTTAAACTGACAAAAATACTTTTTTTTTTTTTTCCCCACCTTCCTATCTATATGAATGAACAAGATATTTAGAGCTGTTTAAAGCCAATCTAAAACAAATCAAAAAAGCCATGGAGATTAAACGCACCAAAGCCGTGGATGAGGCTCTTTCCAAGTTCAATACTAATCTAGTTACGTGTTACGATTGGAAAGCAGAGCAGTAAGTGCTTGTCAATTTACCAAAAAAAAAAAAAAAAAAATTTTTTTTACGTTGTGACTGACACAAAAATTGCAGGGAAAAATTAGAAAATGAGCACAAAAGGAAAATTAAAGCTTATGATACAGAAATTAATAAACTGGAGGCAGAATTGGAGCAAATATTTGTATTGAACATAACCAAACTGGAAGAGGCCTGGTCCAATGTAGGACAAATCCTTGAAAGTTTTGTGGAAAACTCAGCCTTCACAACATCATGAATCTAATGAAATATATATATATATATATGATTATAAAATATTTTTTACATACTCTTGGTTTTTATATATTATTATTAATTTTTCTTTTTGAATAATCCTATTGTGAATTACCAGAATCCCCCCGCAAAATTTTGTTCAAATATTGACAAAAAAAATATTAACCTGCCGTTGCCCAGAATCGAACTGAGGTTTCTTCGGCCACAACGAAGTGTACTAACCACTATACTACAACGGCTTATTTATGTTTCTTGTTTTAAGCAGTATTATAGATCAAGTATGTAAAACCAATACAAAAGTAACAAAAAATTAGTTTACTAGGTGGAAAACGTTTTGAGACAACGTTAAAAGCATTCAATCTTTTAAAAACGTAGAATAATACTTTTACAGATCTATAAAATAATATTTAGACTGTCACGCCTCATTCGGTCTATTAATAAGTGTCTTTCCTTGATCAACCCAACTCTTTGGATGCAAAGATGAGAGTAATTTCGCGATTGACCATAGTCAGAAAAAAAAAACAAATGGTATTTCAACAAAAAATGGCTGTATCGTGGTGTTTAATACCTGATCCTTCGAATAAGACAATAACGAATAATCGTGGACATCCTTTTATTATAAAGAAAGATAAAAAGAAATTGGTCGATCCGACCCTTGGTGAAAAAATATATGACAACCCATACTAGGGTCGCTGGTGGTAATAGATAGAAAATCTGTTTATTGTTCTTACATCACATAGTTACATAATTAAAATAATAATAACAAAGATATACAAAGAAGACATGCCGGTGGTAATGAAAAAAAAAAATTTTCTGCGCTGCACGTAACTCGTTATTTTCATTTAGCGAGGTGTTTTGTCAGGAATACGAGTTTGAAAGAAAAAAAAAAAAAAAAAAGAAATGGGCAAAACCAACTGCACTGAGAATCTCAGTGCGACCCTTGAAAAGAAATCTAGAGCTATAATTTATTGTATTGTTTCTGAAGAACCAAAAGGTTTCAATCTCTTGGATAGACACTGCTGTTAATAAATTTTTTTTTTTTTTTAAAAGAGTCGTTACGAAAAATATTGTGGATTATCACTTTTCGACGTTTTTTTACTCGAAAGAAATGGTTTTACTAGGAGGTCTCTGGTTAATTAACAACTGGGGACGAGAGTTTTCAGTCAATCCAGGCGTTATTGAGGTGTAAAGAAAAAAAAAAAAAAGATTCAAGCGAAAGCTTGTGAAAAGGAAAATAACAGAATATCAGTCTTTATGGTTATCTAAAGATGGATAGTTATTTTATATTTCTATTTACATATTTGTGATTTTGTTGTATTAAATAATTTCTTTAGTGTAGCCAACTGACTGGGCTAAAATATATTATTATTACTACTACTTCGAACCATTTTAAAACAACGTTAATCGCATCAAAAAAAACAAAAAAAAAAAAATACAAAAACTTGAGTTTGTATTTGAAAAAAGAAATCTAATTACGGTAATTGGGCCGATAAGCCTCACGAGGGTTATATAGAAGTGTCTTGTCTTGATCAAGTCTCACTTTTTAAAATAAAGAGATGAGTTTGATTTTACAATTGGTCTTGGTTAGCTATAATTAACTTGCATTTGGTCGAATATTGGTAATATCATGATTTGTAAACTTGCTATACTTCTTGGGGAGCTGTTCTAGTTGTGAACTAATCATGGTATTATTGGAAAGTATAAATATTTAAATGAAGTGCCATATCACTGAGAAAGATTATCACTACAAATGTGGACGGCTAGAAACAATTAAACCCATTTTCAAAAAAAAAAAAAAAAAAAAAAAAAAAAAACATTTATATCTTATATTATGTAACTATGTGATGTAAAGACAATAAACAGATTTTCTATTTATCTATTTATATCTTATAACATGTATCTTCTTCAGTAAAGTTTCTTCAAAACTTAATCTAAAAATTCTACTTGATACCAAAAGAAAAAGGAAAAAAAAAAATTGGAGCTGCAGATGAAATATTAGACTTATCACCGCAACTTGGTTTCTGATTGTTCACACGATCAGAGCAACTTGTTAAGTTTTACTGTGTGCTCGTTTTTGGTAATTACCTACTCAATTATTTTTCATAAAAGAATTCGGCGTTATCGAATGCCGGTATCATCTAACGCATGCTGACAAAACGTTATTTTTTGATGTCTCTTAAAAATGAATGGTTTTAAATTGATTATTTTTTTTTTTTTTTTTTTTTTTTTTTTTTTTTCATATCTTGATCATTATTATTTTAATTATACTATTATACGTATAATGTGAATACAATAAACAGATTTTCTATATCTAACTGTTAATTTTTGTAGTTATAAACTTACTGAGATAGATAGAAAATCTGTTTATTGTCCTTACATCACATAGTTACATAATTGAAATAATAATAACAAACATATACAAACAAGACATGGAATTCAAAACATTTATTTTTATCAAACTTACTGAATAATATACTTTTTTTTTCAAAATACTTCTCAAGAGAACCAAGACCTATTTGCAGCCGGAACAGCTCGCTAAGATTATGGCGAAGCACAATCTTTATAAATGGTTTTAGCAGGTAGAAAAGATTGAAGAGAAGAAGAAAAAGAAGAAGAAGAAGAAGAAGAAAAAAAAAAGGGGAAATGGTACTTATTGTTATACAATTCCGGTTTATTACAAAAGTAGAATTGTCAAAGTTTACCTAACTTGTCATAATAATTTTGACATTCAGCCTGTGAATTATATTGCATAGTACCTTCTAGCTTTTGCAATGCTGTATCAACTTTTTCATTTTTTTTTATCATTATTTATTATTTTTTTTTTGTCTTGATCGCACTTTGGGTGTTTCCAAAGTAGTTTTATTTATATACTTGTCATAATTAATATGATTCCATGACTTGACTTTAGTAAATCACTTGTCAAGGTCGCCTTTGGATGACTTGCTACAAGTAGTGAGTTTCCTAACCGCTACCATCTCGGATGGCTCTGATAACGAACCGGTCACAGATTTTCTTTATTCTTATATTGACAACTATGATATTAACATTACACTGCATTGCTTTAACAAGCCTAGAATTGAATTTATCTAAAATTTTGATCATGAAACAGAGCTACATTTAATGTGTGCTAATACTTGGATATGACAGTCTCGTTTGGTATTACAAGTAAACAAGTCAATGAAAAGTTGAATTTTTTTTTAAAAAAAAACGAAAAGGTTCAAAATACTGTTCCAAAAAAAATACTTCAAGGTAATTCAATCTCGTTCTAGCCAAGAGAATGCAGTGTGTTACTGATAATCTTCTATCAACAATTTCCTTCTTCTTTATCATTATTTTAGGGATAGAAGAAAAAAAGAAAAAGAATTATGTTACTATTTAAAAAAGCATGCGTTAGCCCGGAGTCGAACCGGGGGCTCGACGATGGCAACGTCGAATTTTACCGCTAAACCACTAACGCTTTCAGTTATTTCTGACTTTTAAACAAAATACAAGAGACAGAAAATACAATTGTAACTTATTTTTTTTTCATTAGAAATTATTTCAAAGCAGGGGCTTCAAGTAATTGTGAAAATGCTGGAAGTTGAGAGATAAATGTCTTTTAACTTTGTCACACCGCTGCTAAGTTTTAATTATGAGCACTTGCTAAAACCATTGTAGATCATCAATTTCCGACGTTTTTTCATGACTTGAATAGATAGAAAATCTGTTTCTTGTCCTTACATCACATAGTTACATAATTAAAATAATAATAACAAAGATATACAAAGAAGATATGGGCTATATCGGTTTACGTAACTATTTTAAAACCGCCAGTATCGAGCTTAGGTCTTGAAGGATTTTCAGTAAAACATGAAAAAAATAAGCTTATTACTTGCTGGCAAAATCATTGTGTTAGCCAGGATAACAATCTATAAACAAATCTGTAAATTTACTGAAATAAGACCAAAGAAAAATTTCTAATTTTGTTTGAATCTAAATGCCCACGTAAAGCGTGCTGACAACGCTAATCTTAAATTTTCATGGAAAAAAAATAGGTTTTTATTTATTTATCTATCTATTCATACCGGTACCTAAGATTGTTGGTTTTACTGGTGGGACTATTCACAACCGTCATGTGAAAGAATAAGTTCTATTTGAAGGTGGCTTTTGTTTAAAGAGTTTGTTTCTAGACAAAATTAAGCCTTCTGTACTCACTCGCTCGTAGACTGGTCCAAATGTATCAAGACAGATTGTGTTTTCTTTGCAAATTTGGGTATAACTAAGTCTTAGAAGCAGTATATGTGTAATTAATGGATTTCTCTGTTAACGATTGACCTTTAGTAGTGTGAACAGTTTGAAAAAAAAAGGGTAAAGGGTAAAGCCTAGCACTTTTCCAAAGTCGTTTTTGTTCATTTCAAGGTAACTCTCTGTGTTTAGGAATTTATTCAGTTACTCTACCAACTTTAATATTAAATAATTTAGTTGTGAAGCCTGTTGAAAATTTTTGTGTATCTAGTTCTGAAATTCAGACCCATTGAGAGGTAAGTCATACTGTCTAGGTTTCAACCCAGCTTGTTGTGACACATTGGCACACGTAAGTTCTTGAGAGAATATTCTTAGCACTAATAATAAAAATGATTTTACAGCATTAACATCCCTCTATATAAATGAAACCTCATTAGTTACTCACAAACGTCTCTAGCTATTAACTCTAAAAATATTTCCCTGAACACTTTTGTGATTTGAAAAACCAAAATCTATTGAAATAATAATAAAAAAAATAAAAAGAATCACAAATTTATTCAAAAGAATAAACAATAAACAAAAAACATGAGACAATGAAAACTTGACATTGAAACCACCTTGAAACATCAAGTTTAAGTAAAAACAACCACATATTAAACAACTTTTTTTTTTAGAAAAAAAAAAAAAACATAACCAGTCAAGAAAACCATGAAAAGCAAAATAAAAAACTTTGACATCATTAGTTTCACAAAACCATTTTATCATACCTTCTGTGAAAGAAAGCCAACCCAATCTTCTTAGTTACTGAACCATAATCAGGCTTCAAAAGCCTTCTGCAAGACAGCCTGGTCATCAGCGGGAAGAGACTGAATGATCTGCATAACATGATCATTAGGCAAACGTGAAACAAAAGCCTTAGTAGCCTCAATGACACGCTTAGCAGTCTGACCCTGAACCGAACTGTGCTTAACTGCAAGCGCAACGGCCTCAAGAACCTTAGAAGCCTGCGACATAACAGCCTCATGATTCTGATCCATCAGATCAGCTAGAAACTGGTAAGCAAATGGTGCCGCCTCGTCATCATTGATAATAGGGAGAGTTTTGATCCACGCCGTCAGGGCTTGGTCAAGATTACCACCAAGCTGCGCACCGTAGATGCGCAGGATCTTGGCAATGGCAGTGCACACATTTTCGGTAGCATGGATATTATCTTCGGAGCGGGCCTCAGGAACATTGACAATGTTGAATAGGTTCTCGAGAGTACCTAGACAAACCTCTCCGTAGTTAGGGCCACCATGTTGAGCTGCAACACCGATGCCATAAGCAGCAGCTTGTCTGATAGACGAGTCACCGGAAACAAGACAGTCGACCAGACTGGGAAGGAAGGCATCCTTGAGAGCCCAAGACTGGGGACCAGTAAACTCAATAAAGTCGTCAATGACACATAAGGCCCAGTTAATTTGGCTAGAGTTACCAGCTAGGAAGCTCGTCACAATAGGAAGCAAGCGGGCCTGGAACTCGGGGAAAAACTCGACGCGAGAAGACTTAAAAATAGCATGAATGGTCTTGCAGATTTCCTCAATAAGCTCCTCATCAATCTCCTCATCCTCCTCGCTGACATCTTCAGTGTACTGGTCATCTCCAGACTGGCGGATAGTAAGACGCTCAGCGTAGTCCTTGATGCTGTTCTCAATTGCAATAGACAGCTTTTCTGTGTGAACCTTAGTGAGAACACCAGGGTACATTAACTCAATAGACTGGAAAACGCATACATACGCAGAAACAAGAATTTCAACTAAAGGTTCAATAGAAAGAAGATCAATCAGACGGTCAAAAATGAGAGTGAAAACCTCTAAAACTGCAGGGTCTCTCTTAGCTGCATCAGGAGTGGTGTTCTTGCCCTTAAGAACGGCCTTCTGAACGCAGCCAATGATACTAGGGACAATCTGCAAAGTGGAATATCTGACGTTGTCCTGGTAAAAAAAGTTCAAGCCTGGAACAATGATTTCAGTAACAACTTCCTTGGCGTAAGGATAAAAGTCCTCACCCAAAACGCTAGCATAGATTCCAATGATATCAATAGCATTGGCCTTCTCTTCCAAGGCAGCGGTGTGCATACCAATGTACTTTCCCTGCAAAGGAAGAACTTCCCAGCCCTCCTGCTGCTCAAAGGCTTCGACCTCGGCCTCATCCTCAATGAGCTGGAGATCAGGCTTAGCCTTAGCGGCCTGAAGCAAAGGCGGCATAACGAGATCCAAACAAGGAATAAAATCCTTACCCATGACCTGGGCAAGTCTGCCCCAAGCCTGACCCAGGTAAGACAAACAAGGGTCATCGGGGTCAGTGACAGAATTTTGAATAGACGCAAAAATTTTAACAATCTTATCAAAGTCACCAACAGCCTTTTCTCTACCAACAGCAGAGGCAATCAAAGAACAACACTCAATAGACTTAGCTTTGAGAATTCTGTACTCCTTGGTGCTTTCAGACTGCATGACGTTAAAGAGCAAAGGCATGAGAGTGTCATAGTACTGAATGAACTTGTTTTGGGCAGCATCAGCAACAATGGCAATAGTGGTCAAAGCCTGTTCATTAACGTACTTATGAGGACTTTGCAGCAAGTTGAGAAGTTGCTGTAACAACTCATTGAGATAAGGCTCCAAGATTTCCTTTGTAGCGTTTTCAGAAAAGTTAACCATAGCAGCGGCAGCGTGGGCTTGAACACGGGGGTTTAGGCCAGCGTGCATTCTAGAAATGATGGCAGGAATAACTCTCTCGCTATGCTTGGTCTGAATGTCATCCGCAAAATCGGTAGACATCTGGCCCAAAGCATTGATAGCAGCCCATTGGACACGAGGGTGCTCATCCTCAATTGTAGGCCAGATCAGGTCAATAATAGAGTTGATTTCAGGAATCATAACGCTGGCACAGCCTTCAGCAACGTTGGACAAAGCCATAAGAGCAGCATGTCTTTCTCTCCACTGAGTGCTGGAAGCCAGCTGAGGGAGCCACAAGAAAAGCTTAGGCAAAACAACCTCGCCTCCAAGTTTAAGAGCGAGACGGTCTAGACTGTGCTTAGAAGCAGAATAGATCTCTTCATCTTCATCGGCATTGCTGAGATCGTCCTGGGCAGTCCAAGCGGATCCATCCTCATCGTCTTCACCAACTTCAGTCATCATGGTCAGACAAGTGTAAATAAGCTTTTCAGCATACTCAGGCTCCTTTTTGCACATGTTTGGAGCCTCGTCTACCAGAGTAGAAAGCAGCTCAAGAGCTGACATTCTGGCAGTGTCTTCAGTCTCCTTGTTTTGAGCAACCTCAACACAGAACTGAAGAATAATATTAAGATGGGGCTTGAACATCTTAGGAGCCATCTCAGCAAGCTCAATGACAGATTCAAAAACGGAAGCAAGCTCATCCCCCTTGTTTTCTTCCTTGAAGGGAGTTAAGACATTGAGAAGATTGGGCAGCAAATGCTGAAGTTCTTTCCAAGCCTTTTTGGGAAGAACGCGGAAGAAAGCTGCAAAAGCATCGAGAGCAGCAATTCTAACCTTTTCATTGCCGTCACTAAAGCCACTTTCAAACACGGGGCCAAGACCGGAAATCATTTCCAGACCAACAATGGCTGGAGTTGTGGAAAAGATTCTAAAAGCTGATTCCCGCACACTTTCATTTGTAGATTTGCTCGCGTTAAACAAAGCAGGAAGAAGTTCAGGCCAGACAGATTTTGGGCCAGGCTTAGCTAGTTCGGAAATGGCATCGGCGATCTTGTGTCGGACGTCAGAGGGTTGTTCAGAAATAAGTCCAGAAAGAAAAATCTGTCTGATCTGAGCAAGCACTTCGTCGCTCAAAACATCGAGAATTCTATTAGTGACGTCTTCGCTGTTCTCAGGTGATTTGATAGCGACTCTTCTAAAAAGAACAGCGGCAAACGATCTAGTCTAAACCAAAAACATTAGAAAACGCTTTTGTGAAAAATAAATGAATACAAAAGAAAAAAAAAAATATTTTCATGAAATTCAACAGCAATAACATACAGTGGTATTCGGAGCAAGAACTGACTGCTCAGCAAGGCCTACCAACAAGTAGGATCTTTGGGCTTCACCTCCCACAATCCAAGTATCATTGAGTTCCTTTTCTGCGAGAGTACGCGCATCATTGTTAGAAGAAATCAAATTTTCCAACAACGTGCTCAGTGAGCTCAAAACATCTGCTGGAAGAATAGACATTGTG